GAATTCTGTGACATGAGGTGGCTTGGAAGCTGGTCTCTGGGCACAGTCTGCTATGAGGCCTGCCAGACTTCTCGAACAAATGCGTTCTCACAGACTGTTTCCACTGGAGGTGGGCCTTCTCCCTTTCTCTCTGTGCCGGGGTGTGTGCGTTGAGGGTGTGTATAAATGTGCTTGGGCAATGCATGCTTGAGGATCTGCATTTCCTGGCTGATTGAAAATTGGCTACATGCAAAGTGTTCAGTGTTGCTGCAAGGAGACATGGGACCCACAGAGCTGCTCAGCCGTCACCCCGAAGCTGCTGCACAAAACTCCCCTGCACGCTTTCCCCTGAGGATGGCAGCGCTGTCTCAACACCCACAGAGAGGCTCTTGTTGTTTTGGTGTCGTGGATATGTAACTGAGCTTGCTACTCTTCCAGGTGATTACCTTTAAGACAGCTTTTCAGTACAAACTCTTGAAGACAGGGGTGTGTCAGTCCCTCTCCAGCTGCTGTCACAACGTTATCACAACATTCACTTCCCACAGTTCTAAAGAAGCTGAGACGCGTGAGGTCATGGTGCCAGTGGATTCAGTGTCGGGTGAGACTCTGCTTCCCTGACTGCTGCCTTTTTGCTATAATTACTTATGAGACCTCAGAGGTAAGGGATCTCTCCGGGTCTTCTTATAAGGACACTGATCTCATTAGTGAGGGCTCCGTCTTCATGACCTAATCACCTCTCAAAGTATCTGAATCTTAATATCATCATTTTTTGGGGGTTGGGGTTTCAACATATGAATTCTGGGCAGTGTAAACACCCAGACATTAGCAGAGTATCATCAGGGACTCTGAATCATCAGGCCCTAATGGGCCTGAAATCTCATTTAAATGAATGATTTAAGTCCTAACCTAACTCATTCTCTTTGTATCTTGTGTTTCCCGAGTTTATCTTTTCTTCTGATTTCTATGTTGTTATTATTTGACATCACTTAGCACTGTGCTCATCTTGTCACAAAACCCTACTACCTTCCCCTGTGGTACATTGTAGGAATGATGGAAGAGGAAGACTCTATAGAAAGAAGATATTTATAGAAACCGTCAAGAGAATGGGGAATGTAATTACTCCTGGTATAAAGTGGAAATAACTTTCCTTGCTTCTTTATTCATTTATTTGGTAAGTGTTTAGTGAGGATCTGCCATTGCCCACCGCGGTTTCAGGTGCTTTTAAATTATAGACAAAGTGCAGGTGATAAATGCGGCCTTGAAATATGTATGCTATTGGGAAAGACAGACGTAGTTATTTGAACAAGACAGTTTTTGTGGTGTTCTACCAAATCACAGTTACAGTCTCTGGATTTAGATTTTTTTGGTGCACATTTGTTTTTTATTAAGTTTCGCACTCATTTTCCTTTTGATTCACTATTGCTGAATGGTGTGGGAAATTCGTGAATTTTTGAGAAATAACTGCTTGGTTAGTAGTAATTAATCCCTTCTCCACATAACAGCCAGAGTGACCAGTTAAAAGCACAAGTCTGATTGTATCAGTGTATCGCTTAACATCTTTCAATGGTTTCTTCTTTTTATTGGGGTAAACGTGTATCTTCGATGCGGCTTCCAAATCTGCCGTGATCTAACCTCTGGCTGCTTCTCCCTCTTGCTTGTGTCATGGTCTTCCCTCCTCACTCCTGGCCGTTCCCATGCTGGTTTTTTCTCAGTTCTCAAACTTTCAGCACCTCAATCCACTCTGGGTTCTGTTAGCATGAATAGTTTTCCTTCTTCCCCAACTAATTCCCAGCTACCGTCCCTGTTAATGCTAGTCACCCTTCAAAATTAGCTCATATATCCAATGAGTCATTCTCTGAGACTCCATTGACTCAAATATATTAAAAGCTCCCCTGGTACCCTATTCTGATTCACAATGCTTATCACATTGAAATGAATAGTTAGTTGTTTATTTTTTTTTTTCCAACATGTAAACTGTAAATTTAATGAGAGCAGAGAGTATACCTGTCTGGTTCGTTGTTCTTTCTTCGAACTTAGCTTAGGTCATAATACACTATAGATGCTCAGAAATATCCGTTGATAAACTAATTCAATTGTTAAGTAGATTTACTGTATGTGAAACATACTTGCCTGTGTATAAAGTCATGGATTAAAGCTTCTATAGATGATGGACATAGTAATATTTTCTCTTGGAAGGGAATACGAGAGGAGTACAACTTCAGAAAAAATGACAAAATGCACATTAGGGTATGCTCTTGGATGAGAGATGAAATGAGTTTTGAGGAGGAGAAGTTCTTTTATATTTCTTGAGTTTTCTGATATTGACATGCCTAAATTGAACCACAGTATAAACCAAGGGTCCCTTGATGAAATGATCACTCAGCTTTTGTTCCTTTCATTTTGTTTTTCTTTCAAAAAGCCCTCTGGACATCTATCAAAACTACAGAGTGGAAATTGGTTAGCTTCATTTAACACCATACCCTGCTGCAAAGGCCTCACATCAAGGAACTTGCCATTTTATATTCTTCTTATTTTAATAGTTTTCCCAACTTCAAAAACTTGGAGTTGTAGATAGCTAAAGGCTCCCATCATAAATCCCTAAAAGATTCAGTTCTATGAAGATGTTAAAACCCCAGTGTTTCAGCAGCCAAAGGAATATAAACTTTCTGATTCTTCGTTGCCAGACTCTGATGAAATCACACTGATTAAATTAAGAGGCCTTTGGCAGCATGCACTGACTCTCTGGTGATTTAACAGGTAGAATTCCTTTGCCTTGGCTGACAGTATATATATGTCTCTTAATCTCTAGCTGTTATTTTAAATTTGAGACATTAAAAGTTCTCTGTTTTTCATTCAGATTTCACAAGAATAAGACAGGAAAACAAAAGGTTGTTTCCTCATAGGAAACTGTATTCAGGAGCAAATCATTGTTTCTTTGATATACTTATATTGTGTTCATGAATATGAAAGGTTGTAGATGGAATTTGCAATTTACATAACTATTTAATGAGAGTATAAATTTTACAAGTAGAATTTCTAATAGATTTTGGAACAAAATACACACATTTTGATATACGTCGCAGATACCACACCGGGAAGGTGTTCTTGTTTTTTTTATTACATCCCCTTTTTTGATGTTTGATATATTTCCTAATAGAGACTACCTTGTTTTGTTGAGTTGTTAGTCCAGCATTAGACATTTTGACAATAAAAATAAGAGTGTTTTCTATAAACAACTGTAAATATTTTTTCTTTTATAGAATAATATTCTGTATTTGTTTGCAGTTAGCTTTGTTTTAGATTTGTGTTAGGAATGTATTATCTGCTCAATATTTAGCATTCAGTTTTTAAAAAGATACTCTCTGTATATCCCAGCTTAATTGAGGATTGATGTAACTTGTCATGATCAGCTAGGTCAGGAACTTTTTCATTTCAAATGCTGACTTGGTGAGGGGGTGTCAGGAAGTACTTAATGACCGAAAGAAACTAGAGAAAGAGGTTAGCAATTATATTCACATTGTAAGATCTATGTAGCTCTTTATTTATTCAACTGACCTCTAACTGGTGTCAGAACATTACCGAAGTCCTCTGTGACAGCCTGCAGACGGTAAATCTTCCTGTTGGCACTGCTTTACCTGAGTTAGCATTCTAGACTTGTCTGTTTGCAGTTCTGTGACTGTGGCTTTTGAAGCTTTGTGTAATTTAATTGTCAAAACGTGACCATTTCTTTAATTTGTTATTGGGTAGTTCATCAAGCAGTCTTATAAAGTATCATCATGGAAGGAGTTATAGCTCTGCAGGACTTCTTCTGAAGCTGGACTCCATTCAGAAATAGAAATGTTGTACATTTAACCAAATAGTGGAAAACATTCTTGCATGGGGCATTCCTTATATAATAACAAAGCTAAAGGAAATGGAAACAGAGCAGTTACCATTTACCTAGCAACTCCACTGGACCAAGCTCTGTGATAGCTACTTAAGTGGCATGATCTTTAATTCTCACAACTGCCTTAAACATGGCTATAATACTGAAACAGTCTCCATTTAACATGTGAGAAATGAAGGCATTGATTTCTTAAGTATCTTACCTATAGTCACCTAGCTAGTAAGCAGAAGAGCCTAGAATTTCAGCCAGTGTCGTTCAGTGGTGATATACACTACCCGCCCCCCACCCCTAATCCCTGTCCCACCCCCCACAAACACACACTCTTTGCATCTTTTGGCCTCCAATTTTAAATTTATTTTTTTACTACAGTAGAATTTCTTCTCCCCTTATCAGAGATGTTTTGGTTTATTACATTATGTAGCCCAAATGTAAACCATTTTTTTTAGATGTCAAATTGAAGAGTTTTGCTCCTTGGAATCATACTAAGAACTTTGATATTTAAAAGTATTTTCATCATCATTTTTCTTACAGAAGAGGCAATAGCATGTTCTGTTATAAACTCTTTTAAGTCTTTATTTCCAGATCAGTGAATATAAAATCCAGACAAATATGCTGTGCCAGGCATAATAATGGCTCTCCAAAGGTGTCCCTGTTCTAATCCTAGATACTTGTGAATGTTAGGTTACATGGGAAAAGGAACTTTGTAGATGTTGTTAAGCTTAGGACTTTCAGATTGGGAGATTTTTCATAGATTATCTGAGAGGGCCCAAGGTAAGCACAAACACCTTTAAAAGAATAAAATGCGGGTGAAAATGATGGTTAGAGGCAGAGAGAGAGAGATTGGATGATGATGCTACACTGTTGACTTTGAAGGCAGAAGACGGGATCCTGAGTCAAGGTCTGCAGGTGGCCTTTAGAAGCTGGAAAAGGCAAGGAAATTGAAAAGAAGTGCAGACCTGCTGCCCCTTTGATTTTATATACAGTAAGGCCCTTCTGACCTTCAGAACTATAGGATAATGAATTTGTGTTGCTTTAAGTAATTTTTTAGATCTGTGATAGGAAACTAACACAGATGCTATTGATTTAACTTTGATTTTAGATGTGAAATCAAACATAGATTGCCTTTTCTCTTCAGTGGGAGCCCGGAAGTTCTGCATAGGAGGTGTTTAGGAGGAGCACTGTGACTGAAATGAGGAGCTGGGAGACTCATATTGATACTGTCTTCACACGGCAAGTCATCTTTCTTTTGTAAAAAATAAAGCTATTGTTTCTATTGTATTATTCCATACTCATATTTATAGCTTGATTTTACTTGACTAGTTTTTGGGTTTGGAGGAAAGTAAAATTACCCTTGAGTTTCTTCTTGTGTAAAGGGTGTTTTGAAGATACAATTTGGCAACGGATCATCCCCCATAGAGTAAAGTAAAGAAAGTAACGTTGCCTGCCATTCCAGCTCTCCAAAGATGGGCCCTTCACCACAGCAATTGCCCAACGAAGTTACACCCTGAGGGGGATTCAGGGTGGAGAAAACCGGGAAGCATTCTGTGCCCAGGATATTGGCCCTGCATGGTTTAGATGCATGTTTAGACATTCATATAAATAATTTCAGTGGCCCCCAAGTTTTGCATCTTCCCGTGAGCAGATAGAAAAGCACTAAAACCATTAACGTGTATGTGTGTGTGCTGAATGTGCTCAGGCGCTCAGTCGTGGCTGATGCTTTGTGGCCCTATGGACGGTAGCCTGCCAGGATCTTCTGTCCCTGTGTTGATTTCACAGGCAAGAATACTGGAGTGGGTTGGTATTCCCTTCTCCAGGGATCTTCCTGACCTGGGGACTGAACTCTGAAGTACTCTGCATGGGTCAACCTCTTGGTTACACTGTCAAAAAAAAAAATGGATGCTAGGTGTTGAAATGCACAGGTGTGGGAACCGTGATGCTTGTTTTGCTGAAAATGTCACTCTTTGTTATTCTCTGACTCCTGGGCAACCCTGTCCTCAATACTTAGACCCAGGAAGGCTTTCTTTGATTTTCTTGCCAATCTCACTGTGCCCTTAGCCAGGACCTGGGCGCTGCTTCCCTGGAATCTGCGAAAGGAGGTGAGAGACTTTTCAGCTGTAGTCCTTCCATGAGAGTCCCAGAACCCCATAGTTGTTTTTTTTTTTTAAAGCTACCCTGTCACTGAATCTCAACTGAAACTCATTTTTATGCAAAGCAGTATAAAGAGCATCAGTTGTGAATTCTGATAGACCAAAATTTGCATTTGAGCTTTCTCACTAATTAGCTGAATAGCCATAGGTAAATTGTCCTAACCTTTCTGAACCTAAGTATCTAATCCAAAACATATGAATAATAATGCCTACCTTGCAGTGTCTTTACAGTATTGAGCTGAAATAATGTATGTCATGGGTCTTGGACAAAGTCTTGATTTTAGTGGGCATCCAAAAATGGCCAGGAATTTGCAATAGTGTTGGGGGCATTTTAGGCACTAGAGAGTGAAGTGAAAGTTGCTCAGTCATGTCCAATTCTTTGTGACCCCATGGACTATACAGTCCATGGAAGTCTCCAGGCTGGAATACTGGAGTGGGTGGCCTTTCTCTCCTCCAGGGGATCTTCCCAACCCAGGGATCAAACCCAGGTCCCCTGCATTGCAGGAGGATTCTTTATCAGCTGAGCCCCAAGGGAAGCCCAAGAATACTGGAGTGGGTAGCCTATCCCTTCTCCAGCGGATCTTCCTGACCCAGGAATCAAACCGGGGTCTCCTGCAGTTGCAGGTGGATTCTTTACCAACTGAGCTATGAGGGAAGCTCACTAGAGAGAAGTGAGTTAGTTTTCAGCGTTCAAAATATATCTTGATTCACATTATTGTGCAGCAGAAAGCAATACAGCATTGTAAAGCAATTTTCCTCCAATTAAAATAAAATATTTCTCTAGGGCCTGAAATTTACTAATCCCATCTATGTAAGTTTGAAGGGTGAGAGTGAAAACTAGTGTAGAATTATCAGTGTATTCTTTCAAACTGAAAATATACATTTTTACTTTTTTTTTTTTTAATGGTGTGATGGAGATAGAGAGGCAGGAGTTCACAGGACTGGTCTGCATTGCCTGAAAGGCTAAGACTGGCTTGTCGAGCACATCTGCATTGTTAATAACTGTTTTAATTTGCCTTGTTCACATAATGGTTTTCTTTAATGTGAGATTAACTTCAATTAAAGCGTTTTGCGGCTATGTTCATTCTTAGATTTTCCCTTTAATTGCTCTCTGTGTATTTCTTTTGCATTAGCACCAATTTACTTGTGCCTGCGACTGCAGTTAGAATTAAGCTGAACTTTTGAATCTTAGCTTTGAGTCTTTTTTTCTGGGAAGTTTAAAAATTGAATCTATTATTAAGCTAGTGAAAGTAGAACCCTGTAAAAATTCATACTATGATTATAACTGACATGGCTCCTTTTCTAGTGTTGAAAGGATTAGGGAGACTCAACATCTGAGTTATTGATTGTGTAAGATTCTTCATTTTCTCTCTCTTATAAGAAAGGAAAGTTTCCTAGGCAAAAGAAGATGCACTGCAGTGTTGTACAAGCCACTTTTATTGATTGTGGTTCAGAATTGTAAAGTATTGACTGCATTGATTTAAAATCTTATGGACAATGAATGCTCATAATTCTGTGTCTGAATGAGAGAGAGGGAGAGAGAAAAATTGGGTCACTGAAGATTGCTGAAACTGCCAATTAGTGACACTGGTTGTTTCTTTCTATAAAGAAGGACAGGGCTTCTTGCACCTGCAGGGCTATGATGATGGAATTCACAAGGCTTTGGGATAGCTCTAAACAAAGTGACTACTTATATGTAGCTGCTGCTTTATTCCAGAAAGACAGTAGGTGCTTAGGGATCTTGAGGCAGGGGAACTAAAATATAAATCAGAAGAGCAGAATGTTTTCAGGCTTGGAGGAAGAAAAAGTGGTGTCTTTATGAAGAGATGGGCCTTCAGCATCTATCTTCAGCTTCTGAAGTATGTAGTAGGCCCTCCAAGTGTTCAGGCCATTGTGGAAATATGTGTTTATAACTGCAGTGGGTTAGGTGGCATCTGGAAAGTGTTTTTAGTTGACTGGCATAAATAGGTCCCCATACCACGTAGATCTTAATTTATATCATCTATGCTTCAAGTAGGGGGCAGTTCCCTCATGAGAGATGTATAGACTTTTCCAACTCCTTGACCTGTAGTATTTCTTGAAGTCCTATTTAAATAAGATACAGAGGAAAGAAACAAGGTGAGATTTCTCGGTTGGAAGGAACCTAATTCAGTTCACTTGTTTGGCTGTTGGGGCAGTGTGTCCTGGAGTAAGGAAGTGATTTATCAGGGAGGAAGTAAGGTATGTGATAGAGCCACATTAGTGCTCAGGCTTATAAATCTACACTCCAGTCACTTTCACTGCACTCACTGGAAAAACTTCAACGTAATCATTAGGGAAATTCCTATGATGTGTGTGTTTTTTAATTAATTCAAAAGGGGTTATTGAATAGTTGTTATATTTCAGACACTGTCCTCAGTGAATATAATAAGGATCCCTGCCTTACTGGAGTTTATCTTAATGCGGAGAGATACATGATGAATACATGATAAATAAATAAGCACAAAAGTGCATTGTATGTCAGATTGTGATGAGTGCTATGGAAAATAATAAATCAGGAAAGCAACAGAGGGAAGTGATGTTTGAGCAAAATATGAACAAAGTGAAGAGGTGCCTTTTAAATCTTTGGGGAAGAATATTTCAGTAGGAACAACAATGTTTCTAAAGAAAGAATGTACCTGATGAGCTTGAGACCTTGCAAGGAGACCAAAGTGGCTGAGCAGAGTGAATAAGAGAGAAAGAGTGAAAAGAGATGAAGTCAGAGCTAACACAGCGATGGAGTACACAGGGCTTTTAAGGCAATATTAAGGATTTTTGGCTTTGATTGATATGATTATTAGTTTCATGTGTCAACTTGGTTAGGCTATAGTACCTAGATATTTAATCAAACTCCAATTTAGATGTTGTTGAAGTATTTTGTAGATGCATCTGGCACCTATAATCTTGATTTTAAAGGAGTTTGTCCTTGATAATGTGGCAGACTTCATTCAATCAAATGAAAGTCCATAAGAACAAAACTTGAGGTTTCCTGAGAGAAGAAAGCCAGCCTCATGGCTTCAACATCAACTCCTGTCTGAGTTTCTAGCCTGCTAGACTGCCCTATAGACTTCAGACTTGTCAGCCTCCATCATAACCCTAAAGAAATCTCTTTATATTCTCAATATAATTTGTTCTGTTTTATTGATTTGGTTTCTCTGGAGCACCCTTGTAGGTAGAAGTGAGATGGGAAACTATTGTAGGGTTTTGACCAGGGAAGAACTATGATTTTTCTTAGGTTGAGAATAAGCTGCAGGGGTTCAGGAGTGGATGCAGGCTGACTCGTTAAGTCTGTTGAAGTAACTCAGTGGGGAGATGCTGGTGGTTTGCACCGGCAGAGTAGCAGTGAAGTGGGAAAACGGCAGATCCTGAATGTGTTCTGAGGGTAGAGTCAGCAGGGTTTGCTGATGGGCTAATGGAGAGTATAAAAAAAGGAAGAATCAAAGTTACTCCAGGTCTTTTTGACACATGTAGAAAAATGAGGTTGCCATGGACTGAAACTGGGGAAGATTTAGGAAAGATCCATTTTCAAGAAGGGATGAGATCAGAATTCAGTTTATACATGGTACATTTGAGTTTCCTATTAGCTATCTAAGTGTGGGTTGGGAGTAAGCAGTTGGACATAACAGTCTTGAATTTTATAAGAGATCAGGATAGGAGGTATAATTTACAGCCTCAAAAGTAGATTAGATATTTTAAGAAATGTGTATAGATAGAAGAGGAGATATTATCCAAGGCCTTGAGACCTGGGTACTTCAACATTAGCAACATGGGAGATAAAGAGGAAATGGCAAAAAGACCAAGACGAGGCAGCTAGTGTGATGGGAGGAGAACCAAGAAAGAGGAATGCCCTAAAAAAGAAGAATGCCCTAAAAAAGAAGTGAAGGTGTCTGAGAATATGTCAGCCATGACAAAATATTGCATATAGGGTAAGATCTGCAAATTGATTATTTGATTTAACAATGCTAACCTTCACAAGAGCCATTTTGGTATGGTGGTAACAAAAGTCTGGAGAG